ATAATTGACGAAGTCAACTTTCACGCATCGTAATCGAGAACGAATAATCTGATTATTCTATTATAAATTACATCTGCCAGTCGTTCAAAACTTGATCTAAATCATCTACCCATATACTGCGAAAACGCGAAGAATCGGCCTTCATCTTGTCAACAACCACACACCTCTAAGCTACTCACTATCTATAACAGAATAGATAGTGAGCAGCGTAGCCAATAAGAAAACGGCTTTCACGATAGAATGCTGTAGATTTATACTAATAGCTAATTGTAACAGATATCTGTCTGTGTTTCGTGAAACACTCGGTAAAACGTATATGTGTTGGAACTTGAAGCAATAATGTCAGAGCAAGCAACTGAACAACAACAAGAGACTTTGTTTGACTCACCGACATTACCGCTGGTCCATCAAAAAAATAGGTGTATGAAAGGAAAATGTGATGCACTTGGATTACTCTTGAAAGTGTTTGCTGAATGCAGTAGTACTTGATAGACCTTGCTCAGTAATCAAGGTGCAAAACTTAATGTTCATTCGACCAAGACTCACCCACCGACACATCCGCGATTCACGGCCACTTAACCTTGCGATACTGTGGTCACGTCTCAAATGTCAGTTTACTTTTTTTTTATCTTTGTGGGCTTCTTTTCATCCTTGTTGCTGGAGAATAGCTAACTTTAAAGTAAACAAACTCAGAGGAAAAGACAGCAAGACGAGAATCGGATGCGAACAAACTGTTTTTACGGATCAGTGGGCGTCCAATAATGTGAACGTGATCGCTGCAATTTTCATTTCCTTCTCTCGGTCACTGATCCAAAACCTTTCAATTCGTTAATTTGACCACTATTTTGGCTATTGACGCGACAATTAATGCCATAAATATGGGTGGAAAGATCGTTTTAAAAAATTGATCAGCCGAAATATTTTCCTCTGTTGTTCATAAACATCACAGTTTGGTGATCACCGGTATAAGCCCTGTAACGCGTGAGTCAAGTTCAAAATAAAAAGTGCTACTGTGACAGTATTCTATTAACCAAGCTCTCCTGAACGATTCTTGGAACAAATTTTGCGGGAATGTCAGGGCCCTTGCTGGCTCAAAGTGTAAAGTTGTGAATCTGATAAAACGAGTTTTAGGTGTATTGGT